TCATGCATAATATAATATAGATAAGATCGTATATAGTTGATTATAAAATTACTGATTAAATTATATAAATATAAAAAATAAGATCTAAAAAGTTGACTAAAAGACAAGACATAAGACAAGTCACTCCTTAAATCTTGCATTAATACAAAAAAAACATCTAGTGTTTCATAAACACACAGATTTATACTATCATTCAAAATACATGTCTTAAAACACTATTATGATCAATTATGACCAAGTTTTAACAGAAATTGTTGATGTTTAGTAGTCTTCATCCTCAAAAATTCAAAAATTAACCGCTCTTCAGATGTTTGGTATTTCCTCATACTGTTGTCAAAGTTCTAAAACCACGACTGTTACAAAAACGAACAAAATCAGATAACTTGAATTGACTAAACCCAACCATCGTATCGAATTTATGACATGAAAAAAGCTACATTTTGTACGAATCAATGATCTGATGAGAAATATAACTACAGAGGTCGAAGGGACTTACAATCTGAATCGGTTGTGATCCAGTTCCCTGRTCTCAAGGTTATAAGGCTCGAATTGCCATCGGGATTAGAATGAATTTCAATATCAACGTTTTGATCGGTCCGATTCGTGGAAGAAATCGACAATGCAGAAGAGAACGTCAAACAACTCTCTAATTCCCATCTGAAACTAATCTTTGGAGACTCGTTGGTCATTTGGTCGACATCCTGTATGGATTTAAGTGTCGTTCTGTTTCTGAACTGCGACACCTGAAACAATAAACCAGATAATTAATTCCATTTTTCTTAAATCTGTAAAATAAAATAAAAAATGGACTCGAACCCACCCATTTTAATAATTGTACAAGTAGAACGTATGCAGGCACATTATTGAGTCATATAAATACTATGCCTTGTTTGTTTGTTTATGAAAAAAACTCTTATAAGCCTCTTATATCTGATTCRTTAAGAGGTAAGTCATTCAGACTGTTTGGTTTTTCAAAATTTTCAGAGTCACTTATATTTTRTTGTTCTCTTATCTGGTAATAAGTAAACCAACATCTTATTTGCCTCTTATTGTTCTTCAAACCCTCAACAACGGCGTTTCTCAGTCGATTAACTTTAATCAATCATTTATTTCAATCGATCCTTACCAAATCAATCCTCACATCTCACAATTGATGTATTTTAATAGGATTTAAATATGTTAAATACCGTTTATGACATATTTTCGTTTAAATGAATCCTAATTATATGATTTATATGTAAATTTCGTAATGGTGATGAATAAATATGTGAAATTGTATAAATTTGTTTATAAATTCAACACTGTAATTTTTTAATGGGTAAAATAGACAATTTAAACAAWTTCAGACGTTTATCAGTTTACAAAAATAAACAGTCTTATTGATTCAGATTTCAGACTTCAACATCACCTCTTATAAATCAGAAGTGAAATAARATTTCAGACTTTAACAYMTTYTAAARAYAAACGCCACATATATCTTTCGCACTACAATTTTTTGAAAATTGTAACCGTGTGATTAGCAGTTCTAACACCATGAACTAATCGTTACCGTGTGATTAGTTCAAGGTGTTACTGTTCTAACAAACTAACCCTGCAGGAGGTCAGTTCAACTCCCTGCAAGGCCACTCAAGTATTTATTAGCGGGGAGCCCAATGAAATCAGTCGAGGTGCGGATAAGCCGACCTGTATACCAACAGTTGAAAAACTAGTGTTTTATGCACGAATACGTACCTTTCGAGCAATGTATTTCCCACCCTTCTCGGATTTTACCGCGGCAGCCCACCTCAACAACTCGATCATTCTAGAAACGGTTTTTGTTCTATCTCCTTTTTCTTTCTTCGCATYGGGACTCGGGTTCGGGAATCGCGGTGTGGTTGATTCGTTGACGGGCAAAACCTTGTTTCCGACCCGGACCACAAGATCTTCTTTGTTTTGAACGCTATCGAACTTTAGCCCTCGAGTGATATCTTCTTTCTTCGTCTTCATTAAACTCACGAAACACACGTAATCCGACCGGATTTCTTCCAATCTCAACTTTGAAAACAACAGTGAGAGTTGATTTAAAGAGGTGGTGGGTGGTGGTGGCGGTGGCGGCGGCAGCAGTAGCAGTGACGGTGGTGGTGGTGGTGGTGGTGGTTCATGTGCCACCTTGAAGAGCAATTGTAGGATCTGTTCATGTGTGTTTGAGCTTTAATAAAGAAGTAAGAACATGGAGGCCTCGATGATTTTTATTAGAATATAGTTTTAGATAAGTTTTTTTTTTTTTTGTTATTATAAGATAATTTATTCTAAAATTTAAATGATTTAATATTTATATTTACTAGAAGGGTACTCGTGCAATGCAACGAGATATAACTCGGATTTAAGAGTTGTTTACCAAACAGTTACCCGGTAAGTGCTTACGGTAAAATTTAACATTATTATTTACGTATCGATAAGATTTTAGTCCACCAAAACGACATCCTATGCAACAATTTACCCGGTAAACGTTTACCATAGTAAGAGTCGTCGCCCTCACTTTCCGGGTAAGATTTATGGTCCTTGTCTTGCTCTTACCGGGTAAGATTTTTGGTCCTTACCATATTCCTCCAGTGAAGTAACTTGACTTGGTAAGCACTTACCCGGATAAGTGTTTGGTAAACGGTTCCTTAATGTTTCGTTTTATTCCGTCTCTGTAGATGTTATAATACGGTTTTTATGTTATTTTGATAAAGGGATGATGTTTTTATTTTTGAATAAAATATAAATTTGAAGATATCTTAAAATTTCGAAAATAAATATATCAATATTAATATCAAATTAACTATAACTCAGTTGGCAGAGCACCTCATTACTTCATGAATCTTATTGATTAGCGTACCCGTTGTATTTGCTTCTCTTTCGCTACAGCTCCATTGGGTTCCCTGTCTTTGGTTTCATTGCTTSTTGTTTTGTCTGGAAATAGAAAAAAGATTAGGGGCTGTTTGGCAATTACTGAATGGTTTGGTACAAAATAATTAAGTGATCAGAATGATTAAGAAGCTCTCATTATATAGTGCAAAATGAAATATAATTGTTTGGTAACTGTGTACAATGAAATCAAGGATCTTAATGGTTAAGGGAGTTCTAGGATACAAAATCATTCAGAGGGTTTTGGAACCATTAAGAGGCAGACTTTTTTTTGTCAAACAAGATTCACCTCTTAACGATTCAAAGGTTGTCTCTTAATGAAACTATTAAGAGGTAAACAAACAACCCCTTAGTAATTTAATATACAGAAAAATGTATGGTCGTGCCTAAGGACATATCGGTTGAAGTAGATTCTTTTTTTTACCACTTTTTTTGTCATACTCATTAAGTTCCTATTAATATCCATACCCAAAATYTTCATATTCTCCGTTTTAGAGAATCGGYTGAAAATGTTCTCACAAATTGCTACATTGACCTTTTTTCGGGTCGTTTTTTTCTGATCGCTTATGTCCTACAAAAAACCGTAATACCTTTCACGTATCATCCAATGCCCGGTTTTCAAGATTGATACAAGTATTTGTTTCACAATATTTGTTTATTAAACTTAAAAGAATCCAAAAACAGTCTGAATAAGATCTTTTAAAATGTATATAAATATTGATTTTCCCTGTACATTAAACTCTCGAAACTYTCTTTCAACTTCCCTACACTGGGTTAACGTCATTTGTGGGTTCTGAATACATATTTCTCAMGGACTCTCGAGCCCGTCATTGGTAAATTATCTTCAAATCCCGATATTTATAYTATATTATAAAACATTTGACAAAAAAATTTAAAAAATATTTTTTATGCATAAAATACTGTTTATTCATGCATATTACTTAAAATTCAAGATTACAAGTAATTTTGCATAAGTACAACTTATTAACTTTTCATTTCTAAATTCACTTTAAATATAGAAAATCTAAAATATAATTAAGATAATCATTGAAATCCAACAGAATATTTAATTATCATCTTTATAAAAAATTATATTATTAAACCAAAAATAAATTACTTTGTAATCAAATCTAAATTAACTTATAATAAAAAAATGAATTAAAAAAATTACACCCAAAAAACGAGAACTATTAAATAATTAATTTGATACTAATATCGCTTTATTTTTTTTTCAAATTTTTATGTTATTTTTAAATTTATATTGCATTCAAAAATAAAAACATGATCGTTTTCTCAAAACCACATAAAATCGTATTATATCGATAGGGACAGAATAATATCCAAACATTAAAATAAAGATTTATCTCGTTGCATTGCACGAGTACCCTTCTACTTATTACTAATGCGATCAATCGAGTTCTACTGATATAAGATTGCAATTTTTTTAAAGAAAARGGTAATTGAAAAAACATAGAAAGTGGATCAACATTGTTATATTGGTCAAATGAACAACACAAAGGAGATCTAGCTGTGATGTCTATGTGCGTGGGTGGGTGATGCCAAGGATCAAGATTCCTTGTGAATGGATGCTCACACTTTTTTATTAAAAAAATGTTATTTGATCAATTAAAATTGTTTGTTTAAATCAGATATTTAATTGTAATCAGATAAAAGTAGACTTATAAAACCTGTTCTCGTTAAAATTTACTGGTCTCATAAAAGGTGAATGGTCATATAATTCCAAGTTTATATATWATTACAAATACTGAKTAGTGTTTATGASTAAAGKGTTGTTTATTTACCTCTTAATAGTTACATTAAGAGGCAACCTCTGAATCGTTAAGAGGTGAATATTGKTTGGCAAAAAAAA